AGTAGGGAAAAAATAATTTGTTACATCCAAATAAAACAGTGTTAGACACCGAAAGACAGGATCGCAAAGTCCCATGCAAAAGCAACTAAGATTCAATTTTTTACTTCCCTTTTTCTATAGGGAATACAAACAATAAGTGTCCGTTTGATTGCAAATGTGGAAAGTGGGTGGAAAGAAAATAAATTATAGGGAATTGAATTGTCTAGACATTGTTTTATTGGGAATTGTAATTAATTGTATTTGATTGGCACCCGAAAAATGTTGAAATTTTGAATATTTTGGTATTCGTTTGACTTTGTTTTTCATGAAAATTGTTAATTAAAGAATTTTTTTTTTCACAATTATGAATAGAATTTGTTTACATTGTAAAAAACTAAAAGGAAAAAAGGCAAAAGATAGAAACCTGGAAAACTAATTCCGACCAATGAAAATCCACCGTGTGAAGCAATCCAAGAATTGCAAATACCAAGAAAACTTTTTGTATCAAACAAGACATTTTGGATGGAAATGAAAAAGCTTTTCCATTTTCCATGGAAAATAGGCTCAATCAAACATGCCCTTAAATGTAGTACAAATTTGGTGGTAATTGGCTGTGGTTGACTCCACAATTTCTGGTCAACATTACAAATTCGAGCCCTACTAGAAAAACATGGCCAAATTGTAGGCCCTTTCCAGGGCGCTAAGGTGGCGCCCTGTCATTTGTCCCAGTCATTGAGCCGGGACAAATGGCTTTTCCGTCTTATATACACTCATGTCTTGATGTTTTCATAGTAAATTCTATGTGCAAAATACATTTGAGAAGTTTCAATTAATTTTGTGAATTAACATGTTAGAATTTAGTAGAGAGTCTAACTTCATCGTACACGATAAAAATTTGAATCGAGTTTCTTACACATGAGGATGTTTGCTGGGTGGAGGTGGCTTGAGGTGGTTTCGGCGTGGGTGTCATCTCCATGAAAGATTTTAATTTTTGAAATTTTTTTACAAGTCGGGGGTGTATTCTCGAGAAAAAATTTCAATTTTTGAAAATCTTTTAAGTTAGGTAGGGTGGGTGGGGTGGGGTGTAATCTTTATAAAATATTTTAAATATTTGAAAAAAATTTACAAGTTGGGGCGGGATGTAACGTCGATAAAAGTTTTCAATTTTTGAAATTTTTTTTACGGATGGAGTGGTGTAATTTGGTGGGGGTGAGTGAGGTGGGGATAATTAATCGCAATTAATTATATATTATACTCCCTTCGTCCCAATTATATAAGTTGAGTTTCTTTTTTCTCTTGTCCCAAATATATAGATCAGTTTCCTAATGTAGAATATTTTATCGTGTTCCTTTATTAATATACTCTTATTAACTTTTTCATACTTAATATGCTAATTTTTTGAAATCATCTAAATACACATATTTTGGAAACATGAAACAACTCCCATTTCTCCTTCTTCTTCAAATTTTTTATTAGT